AACATTTTTAACATAGTTCTAACTTAATCTTCAAGATAAGCATTTCAAATTGGCATTATTTTATTTAATACTGAACTCTAACAGCATTTCGAGATGACATTTAATTTATCATGCATAGCAAATGAAATCATGCATCATATGTAATTAGAAAAATGGTACTATTCTGTTTTGAAGACTGTAAAAAATTGCAACGAAAATGTATGCACAAAAGTGCCAAATCTAGCAAACACGGCCATTTAACAGTGCGTCAAATCTAGCATAAGCGCTGATTTCAAATTGCGTAAGTTTAGATAGTTCTATATATCTTAAGACGCCATTGAAATACTAGTTTAAATATTAAATCCTTTTTTGATATCTTACGGATTTAACAATTTGGGAATTGACCATGACGAAAAGTCTGCAATAGAATTTTTTCAAAGAAAAGGCATCATTCATTATGTTTGAACAACCAACGAGATGAAATTATGCTTTAGCGATAACTTGGTAACGAAATAGCGATGCAGGAATCCATTCGATTATGTTTAGCCTTTTTTTATATAAATTGTAATAATTATCTGAAATATTTATTTATTCTTATGCTTCCATTCAGTTATGTTTAGCCTTTTTTATATAAATTATAATAATAAAAAAGTATTATATGAAATTAACCTTTCATATAAATTAGAACAATAATCTTTAGATAGTTATTTACTATTATACTTCCTTTCTTACGTTAGGGTTGCCGAAATTATTTTTGGCAGCACTGGCATCAACAATAGTTTGGCAATTTTTTACGGTCCTCAGAACGGAATAGTACCAGAAAAATTTACATGAATTCCAAATAATGATCTAGTATAGTAGTTAATTTACAACATGTTCCAAGTGAGACTAGTCCTCAAGCAGTTTTCATGAACTCTGCATGAAAACTACAATATATTCCGATTCATGGTAATTATATTGCACTGAAAAACTGGAAGAGAAAAGTTTAGAACATTTCAGTGTGAACCATAAATACAGTTTTGCCGATCCTTAAACTGGAACGCACGCACAAAACAATAGAAAGACTGTGGAGTAGCGCCAAATGGCGAAATAAGAAACATAGAGGAACAGCGCGTCCTCATCTGGAAAGTTATCTCGCGGAATTTATGTGGAGAAGGGAAACGAAAGATCCATTCGAAAAAGTTTCGAACGGTATTAAAATGTTTATGTCTCCAAAGTAAAAAATTCTTAGAACTAACATTTGTTAAAAATTCTTATGTGTATACTGTGTGGTTGCCGATAAAGTCTGGTGAGTTTTGCGCCGGCGAAAAGGAAAAGTACCCGCTAAACTAGTAAGATATCGTCAAACCGGTGATGGTTTTAGGAGGACTAATTTTTGGCGATGTTTTACTCCGGTTCCTGTATAACTACAATTGGTGTTATAGGGTACGGCACGAAAATTGGCTCCTCTTAATATCATGCTATATTGCGTTTCTGGAGACTTAAATTATTTTCATATTTCTACTAAGAGATGGCGTGTCGAGGTACTTGACCTACAAGTGTGTAAGGCAGCCGCAGCCAAACCGGTCGTCTGAAAAAAATATGTCCAAACTATTTGAGAAGTAGGCCTCGCTGAGTGAAGCCGGGTGAGTGTGTAATAATGCCGTATTCGATACTCGAGCGTGTTGCCTTTGTTTAAGCGTTCATTTGCACTGAATCCTGAATCGTACTCTTTTGTGAAAACAAACACTTTGTTTCAAGAGAAATTCCCAAAACGTTCTGTGCCAGCAAAAAGCACAATACAGGAATTGATCGAAAAATGCGGCATACAGGATCTGTTCAAAATTCTCCCACTAAGAGACCACCATCTGTCTACATACCTGAACTAAAGAGGTAGATGCAGGACATAATGGCAAGAAGTCCTCGTAAGTCAACTAGGAAATAGAGTCAACAGGCTCCAGCGAGTGAAAGAAGTTGCGGACGTGTTTTAAGGGCGTTGAAGTTAAAACCGTACCAGATAAATGTTGTGCAACAACTGAGGAGCCTGACCTGCAGAAGATGGTGCATTCCTGTTCATGGCCGTTGAGGAATGTTGCCAGTGGATTCTTTTTTTGACTCCCTAATGCTCATCATGATTGAAGAGGCCCTGTTTCCACTTTTCTAGGTACGTAAATTCTCAAAACAATCGAGATTGGTCGACAGAAATTCCGCGCGCAACTCACCAGGAACCCTTGCGTGACGAGAAGATTAAGTTTGGTGTGCTATTTCCCACATACGTTTTGGGGCCCATATTCTTTGAGACCACAGTCAGTGCCATGTATTTTTGAGTCCTGGAAGAGTTTTATTCAAAAAAAAACAGAGAGACAAAAGAGGAGCATCAGTTATGTCGCTTTCAGCAGGACGGTTCAATAAGCCGCACGTCGGGTGTATCATTGCCCTTTGTTAATGAGATGTTTGCACCAGAGAGGACAATGAGCAAAACGTTGTGGCCTCCTCGGTCACCAGACTTGTCCACTGACTTGTACTTGTGGGGAATGCTAAAGAGTATATAACACAATTGAAGAACTCCATCCAGGATATCATCAATAGTATCACAACAAAAGAATTGAGAAGTGTGAAGGTGATTAATCATATTCGAAACATAACATTTCATGCTATGTGTTGACTTTGTTTAATCATTGATTACGTTCATCTTCTGATGTCTTATGAAAGGGCGGAACGGTTTTACTCACTGAACCCTGTACAATTGAATAAATGTAATCGTATTCGGCCCTTAAATGTAACTTTAACGGCATATACTAATGTACGATTTTGAAAATTGTTGCCAACACCAAAATGACTCTCTAATGCTGCTACACCACCATAAATACCGCACTTCAAATTTTACAAGCCCACCAGCGGCCGAGCGGTAATATCGCTGAACACTGGTAGTTCGGTCCGAGGTTCGAATCCTGCGAACGGGCTGGCTGCATGGGTGTTTTCGTGGTTTTCCCCATGTGTAACGTGTATACGAGCCAGTTTCCCTTAGAAAGTCCTCCACGAAAGGCATCCCTCCCCTTAGGCAGATAGCCCTAGTGTTCTTTGCCATAATTAAATACACCATTAGTACACATCAAATTTTACAGTAGATTCAAACGTCCCGAAGTTTCATCTTTATCTTTAATTTCACGTATAAATTCTAGTATATGGTACATCAAGATATGGTACCTAGTATATGGACATTATAATGAGCAACGCGACCACGCCGAAATACACTGCTGGCCACTCAAATTGCAACACCAAGAAAGACAAGAGATATCACAAAAAAATTTATTTAGTAGATACCATGTTGACCAAGTATTAAATGATTAAATTTATAGACTTCTGTGAAGTGTGGTTCCTTCCAGAATCAGTAGCCAGAGTACCCGCCATTGTTGGAGATCACCGCTGCCACATGCCTCTGCATTGATTCAAAGAGACTTTGGTTGTGTTCGTGGGTACAGAAGACCAAGCAGCTTCCACACGTTGCCAAAGTTGATCTGGGTCAATCGTTCAACAACCATGGACCACATGTTATATATCGGCGAAAGATCCGGAAAGCGAGCTGGCCAGAGAAGCAATTCAATCTGGCGATTAACGAAGAACCCTTGGGCAATGCGTGTGCCACATGTGGTCACTCATTATCCTGTTGAAATATGGCTGTGAGCAAGCCCTGAATGTAAGGAAGGACAACTGGCTCCAACACCTCGGAAATGTAGCGCTGGCTGTTTAAAGTACCGGCAATGCGTATTTGAGGAGTGCGAGAGTGATATCCAATACCGGCCCATACAATAATACCCGATGCAGGACCAGTGTGATGGTGCATAACGGAGCTGTTCAGCATCCTCTCTCCACAGCGTCTCCAGACTCGAATCCGACCATCGTGGTGTTGCAGACAGAAGCGTGACTCGTCAGTAAAGACAATTTCCTTCCATGCCGGTCACATCCTTCTTTCATAGCACCATTGGTGGCGGAGAAGTCTGTGGTTCTGCGTCAAGGGTAGACGAAGCAATGGACGTCTTTCGGGCAGACCACTCTGCTGTAAACGGCGTCGAATGGTACGCGCAAACACTGGATGATGCGTTACAGACTGAATGTGCTGTGCTATGGTTCATGATTCGTGATGTGACTGAGCGATCCGTCACTGTCATGCGCACAATGTTCCTGTTATCACGTAAAGTGGTGCACTGACGTGCATGCGATCGAACACGTCGGTCCGTCGTACCCTCCTGCATCCAACGGTCACATATCCACATTAAAGTTGATTGGTTTCGTCCAACACGACTGCCGATTTTCCTGAAAGATAATCCACACTATCGGTAGGCCATTATCCTCCCTCTGTCGAACTCGGATACTTGATCAAACGATGATCGCTGTTTACTCCGAGGCATAATTGATCGTTTTTAAAAAAAAAAACCGCAAGAAAAACACAATTGCCGAACTTGAAATCGTCGAAAAACTCCAAGCCTAAATCTAAGTTGCGAAAAAACGCTAATTCTTCTATTTCCAGCCAAAGACCTCAGAGCATAACGCGAACTAGAGGTCAAAACTCCTAGCGGTTGATGTCTTCAGAGCCACCAGCGATGTCCGTCCGACGTCCGATAATGACCAGTAAACGCGGTATTTTGTCATTGACGACAATTTTAAAAATCGTGGCAAAGCCGTACCTTATACTAGGATTTAACGATTTCTTAGAGATCAGTAAAAATATATTATATTGTCGAATAAGAATTGATGGTAATACTCTTCGTTTCGTAATCTTAATGCGCAGTTCAAATCAGAAACGAAGTTAAGAGAGTTTTAATTTGAACGAAACAACTCCAGGGTTAATTCTGGGAGTTTGTTTCGTTCAAATGTAGACTTATTTTTATTTAGAATTCCACTTTTCGAGCATCAAAATATGGTTAAATGACCCTAAAATCATAAAATTGTGTTTCGCTGGATTTAATCGCTGCAGTAGCTGTAAAGTCAGATGTCCAAGAGAAGAATTTGTTTTCTTCACGGCGTAATTATAAGTCGAAATTATAAAGTGGCAACAAAGCAGATTGTACAGTGTTTACCTTATTTGAAGTTTGTAATGGTTAACCATCTGTTAATGCTAACTTTTATCCTTGAGTTTTTGTATATATTCCGTAGATGAAGCATTACTATATTACAAATTTTCAAATGAACTGATGACCCCAAAAGTTATTAGATCATAGCTTGCAAGTTTTTATGCTTCAGTAAGCATGATAACAGAATTTCGATATTCTTCCTTTTGAAAATTTTGTGTTCGGTACATTGTTTATTACATATATGCGAAATTTACACATTTATGATTATCAAGATCTGCAGTATTTATTTATTTTTTTTGAATGCTGCTTTTCTGAAATTTTTCTTTCGATATAAAATGTATATTGAATAATATTTTAGTAATTGTAACTTATAAAATCAAATCTTATGCATATACTACATTTTTTTAAAATGTAAAGATTCATAATTAAAGGTAGTTTTTAATTTTGTTCATTATCTGGTTTTTAATCATATAATTTTCACTTGACATATAAACTGTATCTTAAAGATTCATCTAATATTGTATAAATCAAGACACAAGAGAAACACGCCAACGTGGAAAATAAAACAGGCAAATCGACAACCTTGTATTCGTCGTTGATTTTGTCAATTTGCCTGTTTTATAATATTGTATATTTATATGATGACTATAAAGTGGTGCACAGAGAAAAATTCTGATTGGAGTTTCAGATGAGGGAGGCTTCAAGCAAAGAAATTCATTCTAAGTAGTTTTTTTCTATTAAACTAGGCAGAAATTATACTCTTTATTTTGCATTTCTCTGTTTTCTATGAGAGAGTATTAAGGATAAAATTTTGCAAATATTCACACTTTGTTTATTATATATATATAATTAGCCAATTCTGTATGTAATACATAAAGGGCAAATAGAATCTCTAATGACCCTACCAGTGTCCAAGCAGTTAATATTACTGAATAGTGGGAGTGTGACCCAGGTTTGATCGTAGGCAAATGGGATGGCTGCATGGTTGGTTTTCGAGTTTTCTCCATGTGTAATGTGAATACTAGCCTGTTTCCCCTTAGAAAGGTCCTTCATGAAGACATCCTTTTCCCTAGCGAAATAGTACATTTTTATTTTACCATATTGAAATAATCTGATCTTAAATTTGTTAATTAAAACAAACAAATGTATTTAATAATGGAAGCTTATCTTACCTAGAGCCAGTCTAACAGTTATAAATAGTGTGAAGTCCAAAACAAAGAGGATAAAAATGTGAGATCTTTCTTTTCTGCTCTGTAGTGAAGAGTCAACTACAGAGCAGAAAAGAAAGTGTTAATATTGTGAAACTAAAAAATTTTTCCACTCCTAAAGAAGCAGATCTGGTCATCCTCAGAACAGAGTTGTAGCTAGGGTTTTCAGTGCCCAGGGACAACTGAAGATTTCTTGCCCCCTACTGCTTGCCAAAGATGGAAACATTTAATTCTAAAATGTCGTAACATCAGTTTGGCGCCCCTTGGATTCTGCGCCTGGGGACAGATGCCCCCCTTGCCCCTCTCTAGCTGTGCCCCTGTCTCAGAATCAGTATATTTTTATTTAAAATCTACATCAAACTAAGACTGTTTTTGTTTAATTTACAATTTTATATCGTTATGTTTTTCTTCCAATTTGGCGAAAACTTAGGTACTGTTCTGTTATCCGGACTGGATGCAGAAATGTATGTATGTATATATAGATGGGTGTGTTCATGTATGCATGTATATATGTTTGTACTTCTGTAAGTCTTTATATACATACACATATATGTACATACATACACATGTCATATGTGCATATAAATTTCCTGATTCCAGGACCGATAAACGAAGAGTACTAAAGTTTACTTACAGAGAAGAAAAATAACATAAGTTTAATTATTTAATGAATACAAACTAAATCAAAGAAATTTTGATAATCTTTCTAATTTGTTGAATGAACAAAATATCATAGTTGGATTTAAAGACTGAATTACATAAATATGTTCTTATCAAACATTTAGTCTCTTGTTATTTATTTTCATTGTAATATTGAAATTACCCCATCTGAATTATGAATAAGAATTTTATTTGCTTTTGTATATTAAAATATTTCTAAAAATTATATTACTATTCTGTTTAATATTAAGTTATTTTCTCTTGATATGTAATTTAATTTTTTTTTTGGGGGGGGGAGGCAGATATTTATCAAATATAGTTTGAGTGTTGGTGATAATTTATAGTTTTCTCTTTTTCTAGGGCATGTCATCCACAGAAGATTCAGAGAATCAAAATGAAGAATTTTTATTGACTTTAGATACTATTCCACCAGAAATATTCCTTCATATTTGTTCTTTCTTAAGTGCAAAATTTGTCATTAATGTGCTTAGTCAGGTTTGCCAGAAATTCAAAGAAATTATAGAAAATGATACAACTTGGCGAATGAGAATTTCTGAAAAATGGCCAAGACAATATCCCATGATTGCAGGTTTGAAATTATATGATATTTATGCATTATGAATTTAAAATGTAAAATATATTGGAATACATTTTCTCAGATACCAGTTACATGTTTAAATTATTGTTTTTTTAAGTTAATCCATCTCTCAGTTTGTATCAATGTATGTAACTATATACAGCACCTGCTGGTTTTTAAAATCACTTCCATTCCAAATATATTTGCGTTTATTAAGCAGCTGAGTTTAGTAAATAGCAATTTCAACATTTTAAATTATGGTATCAAGTTTGAACTTATTTAATAAGTAACTAACAATTATACAAATAGCTGAATTATTAATTAAAAATTAATATTAAAATTTAACTATTTGGAAAATTTAGAATTGTATATATATATATATATATATATAAAATTATAGTTGCATACCTGATGAAATTTTAAACTTTTACAAAGATTTGCTTTGTCCATATTTGTTTCATATTGTTCTTCAACAATCTTTCAATTGTAGCTTCCAGTTTGTAAAACTGTTGGTAGCTTTTCTGATCTCCACCTTTCATTTCAAGAGTTCTTAGAGTTTGCAGTGCATTTCTTCATTTGGCTGAGGTTGGCATGTAATGACTTTGTATTGTATCACTTTCGCTGTTAGTTCCAGTTTCCACAGCTCTTTTAACTATTTCTGTAATATCATAGTCAGTGTTTTTATATGCTGTCTCAGTATTATCATCAGTGACAACATATTCTAAAAATGCATTTTTATAATTTCATTCACTAATGTCTGAAATATTAGAAATAACTTGCAATTCATCAGTGGCTTCTAAATAAAAACCCCATTTTCTAAAGCAATTTATAACTTTGTTTCGGGAGACTGTTTCTCATGTGTTGACTACAATATGCATTACAAGATATTGACTTGGTTATCTCTGCTGAATTTCATACATTTTCAAAGGATTCAATTTTTTTAAATCTTTTTTGGACACCTTTTCTGTAATGGCATTTGAAAGCTTTTACAGTACCTTGATTTAAAGGTAGAAGAGATGCTGAAGCTACCAGAACAGCATTTTTCTTTAAAACTCTCTTCCTCCATTGCTGACTCTCCCACTGTATAGCCAAATTTAGGGAAACTGTTCATTGCAGATTTTTTTGGGCACTCCCGAATTCCAGCTCTGCATCCCGTATGGATATGCATTCTATAAAATGTCCTGAAATTCACAATTTATACAAAGATCCATCAAAAATAATTTAGTTTCTATAATATCTCCATTCGTGGATCACATTGTTTTAATATAAATTACATTGCTGACACTGGGGCATGTAGTGATATGCCATATGAAGCATATTTGTATGTATGGAACAGTGGTGTAGCTAGGGTGGGGCAAGAGGAGACATTCGTCTCTGGGCGCAGCATCCAGGGGGTGTCAAATTGATGATACGCATTTTAGGATAAAATGTTTTCTATTCTTTGAACACAGAAAGGGGCACAAAATCTTTAGTTGTCCCCGGGTGCTGAAAACCTTAGCTACGCCTCTGGTATGGAATATGACATATCATCAGTATGTCAGCGGGCTGTTGGTGCGGAACTTTTCTACCAAACTGGTTGAGCCTATACTGCCACAGCATATCACCATGCCCAGCATATCACCAGAGAGCACCTGCCGAAGAACTGCCGTGCATTGCTGTTTTCACGCTCCTCAATATTCGCAATTTTTCGCGTAAGTCCTCATAATTAGGTTGAGTAAATCATACCATACTATTGAGGAAGCCAAGACGTGCGTTTTGATATATGGATTAAGCCTGTATCATCCATACGTAAAAAGTTATTAATTAATTTCTAGTTTACTCGTGGGAGCCCATTGTGTCCGCCATTGTTCATGCAAGGGAAGAACAACATGGCTTTTTAGTCCATCATTTACTCTCAAGATTTATATCACCGGACGCGCAATCGTGTCAGGTTTTCCTTGGAACTATTTTCGTAGTGATCAGATTATTATTACGTTAATTACGTAAGATTATTTAGCTAGCACGTGGTGTGATGAGTCATCTGTGAAATTGCAGGAAAAAGTACGGTTTCATCCCTGAACGTATTGCTAACTATGACAAAGAGCTCCAAAGAGATAAGAAAAGCTGTTGATAACAAAAGGTACTAGTGGTTTCTTCATCAGGCAGTTTCTCCAGTTTTTACAGCCCTTTTTTCATGAAAAAAAAAATGACAACAATCAGCGGAAAATGACGATTAAGGATTTCTAAATTAAAAGATTCTCCGTCAAATAGTTCAGAAAATATAAAATTTGGCTTATTTTCTCCTTTCTACCCTGGAGGAAATCCCACCGCAGCAATCCCCACAAGGAAGGAATCTACAACGTTCCCCTTCCCCCCCCCAGGACCCTTACGAACAAAGAGCCTCTCCCACTACGTTTGCGGTTTTTACGACAGTGGATATTCCTCAATTGTGCAGTCACTCTTTATTCAATTAGAAAACGGAAACAGGACAGAGAAATTCCCTCTCAAGTCTTCCAGAGTACTTTAAAAGTGAACTTTGCATCTCTATCGGTCATCTACTTCAATTTTAGTGCTTTTGGTGAAATTTTGATTTTAGTAACAGCTTGTACAGACTCTATATTGTGTGATAAGATTAGTGTTTCATTGTTTTCGCACTCTTTTCTTAACAAGAATTGAGAATTTTCTCTCTTGGAGATTGTCTAACTTACGGAAGAAGTACTGCTACCAAGGTAGGACTTTTTACTCTTTCGTCCCCCCGCTTCTCATTCTCCTTGCTTCTGTAATTGATTAATTATACCACACGCATTGCATAGTTTAATAACAAACAGAGTTAATTGCTTAGTGTTTAAAGAGATGAATTGAAGGTGCCTAATATTCCTTATTTTCTTAAGTGCTGAATAACGCAGTTGACTTAATATATATTCGGCCTAACATTTTTCATTTCATTTCATTTTACCAATGTTTTTAATAAGTTACATTCTTATATTAGTTACTTTTTTCATTTATTGCACTGAATAGAATCTATTTGTTCTTAACATTCTATTATTATGTTTGTACTTGTTTTTTGTTATATATTTTATATTTAACTCATCTAATCTGATTAGTAATTAATACTGGTATTATTCATCGTAAAAAAAAAAAAAAAAAAAAAAATTGGCTCTCTACGTATAGAAAGCATTTCCATTCAATTATCTCTGTACTACGACATTTCTCAGGAGTGTGTGCAACTTATCACAGTATAACTGTTCACAATTTATAATAGTAATTCCCTCATAGTCAGCTTCCAGCATGGCTCAAACTACACGTCCTTCGAGCCCAGTGTCCGTCAACTCGGAAAGTATGCTTTTTACCACCGGAAAAACAGCAACAGTACGCCAAGAACCGCATATAAGAGCCGTAAATCTTTATCATGCATGTCTAGATCTAGCCAGTACTAGACGAGGCGGAAAACGCATCATCCCACCAGGAATGTTCACAAAGCTTAAAAAGATGCTCGATGAGCTCAGAGATATTGCTACAAGTAATGGGATCAGTAACGTAAGCGACGTTCCGTTTCCGATAGGTATTCCGCATCCCTCCCACGCCGTCACATGTCAGTGCGATGATTCCACCACAGACTTAATTAATACAGAAACAATGCCGTCATTATTAGAGGATAATAATGTTCCTAAAATTTCATATGCTGATGCTGTAGCAAAGGTACCAAGAAAAAATAACCCAACTATTTTGCTATACCCAAAGCAAGAGCTAAAATGCCATATTACAGAGAAACTAAATCAGATCCTTCCCCTCAAAGAAATAAATGCCAATATTGATTATATAGCAAATATTAAGAATGGAGGCATCGCGATCAGCAGCACTTCAAAGGAAGAACTCAACAAGATTACTAACGCCATAAACGTTTCCGAAGAAGCAAATAACTTAATAGAAATAAAAACACCAAGGGTTAAAAAACCGAAAATCTCAATCAATAATATCCCGAATACATTACCACCAAAATTAGTTCTCGAAGAACTAGTTGACCAACTAAGGATTGATAAAGAGGAGATTTCACCTCTCTTTTACACAAAAGGCAAAAACCCAAACACCATTAAGTGGGTTCTCGAATGCTCCCCTCGTACTCTATCCAAATGTATTGAACGTAGGAAAATTATAATTAATTGGAGCATTCTCCCAATCGCAGAATTCTACGGAGTGAGGAGATGCTACAGATGCCAAGATTTCTCACATTCTGGTAGTGCATGCAAATTTAGGACTTATTGCGCTTTCTGTGGCGGACCTCACTCCATAAGGAATTGCAAAGAAGACGTACCGGATTGTATCAACTGTAAACTGTTCAACTGCACATATGGAACCTACAACCTACATCAATACTTCACATGCTGCATTCTCCCCCAAATGCCCATTATATCAGAGGGAAATCTCAAAAATTAAAGCTGCTGCAGTTTACACACATCAAAGCAAGAAGAATAGTTAGCTTACTACCTAGTTTCTTTTAAGTTAATTTAAACTTCCCTTTCTGTACATGAATCCATCAATCCATCAAGTACTACCGCCGCCCTTCAATTCCCCAATCTCAACTGTTTACGACAATTTTACACAATAATTCGCCTCCACAGGACAAGCTTAGAATCCTTCAAATAAACTTAGGCAGAGGAAAAAAGGCGTCAGAACAACTTAGTGAAGTAATTGAAAATAACAATCATGATGTAATTTGCATTACTGAGCCGTATTGCGTAAAAGGTGAAGTTAGATGCCTTCCCCTTCACTGGCAAATATTTCAATCTACCGAAAAGGATCCTCTAGTTAACCCACGTGCCAGTATTATAGTCACCAATACCAAATGGTCCCCTACAATTATATTAAGCCATAGAGATGTGATGACGATAAGTATTAACTGTAAATCAGAACAGCTATTAATTACTACTTCCATTTACTGCTCACCACGAGAGGATATGGGGCCGAATCTCCACACATTAGAAAATATCTTTAGTAATCTCAGAAGATCACAGCACGTGATTACAGGTGACTTC